AATAACAGCAGTTGTTCCTAGAGGTGAGCGTGATATGAGGGAAGTGAGCAAGTGCCCATGGACCATGCTCTGGGGTCTGTTTCTTTCTCACGCTCTTTACCTGCATGTCAGGGTCCCCCCAGAGGCGGAAGACACTTTGCTGTATTAAGTTTAAAATGTCATCACTAATTAGCTAGGATTGCAGGCTGGGGCAATGCAGCACCGGGCCTGGGGACTTAACTTTATAGACAGAGAGTTTAAGGGGAAAATACATTTTCCAAACTCATTTTAAAAATAGTTTCCCTTGGAAATTAAAACCATTAAATGTACATCATTATGTAGATCAGTATTCATGCTTTAAAGAAACATAATTTTGCCTTCATTTAATTTGTTTCTCCAAGACCTAATTATGGATTGGATAAAAAATGTTATTTTTCTATCACCGTGCAAATCATCTTTTACCACCCAGGAGGACGGTTCTCTCTGGTTATGGAGGGTCATTTTTATGCAGTGATTAGTCAAGGAAGAGTCGGGGAGACCTATTCAAGAAGGAGTTGGTTGTTCCTGAAGATGAAGAAACACAAGTGCGCTTCTTTTCAGGAAGACAGAGGGGTTGGGGTCAGCTTGGCTGGGACTATATATCTTTCCCCAAGAGCACATGCCTTCAGCTGCTTGAGCAGGTCCTGGGAATGTAAGGGTATCCAGCAGCAAGGCCAAGGACTGGTCTAGGAACCAGCCCCAAGTTCCATCAGACTGGGCTGCCTGGCAGAGAGCACCAGGGTAGTGGAAGCATTAATAGCACCTGATAACCTTGACTACCATTCAAGGATGGGGCAGAAGAGAGTGACTCTGTAGAAGTCACTTTGCTTCCTTGGAAGTGCTGATGCCAACAATTTGATCGAGAAGACTCAGAGGCTGGAGTGGGTTGGGGTCGTAAAAGCAGCAAGCCCTCCAGCTTGTGCCCTATGGGTCAGGTGCTCTCGTGTTTTTCAACACTGGTGTTTAACTTAGCATTAACTTTAGTGTTGCTCAGTGTTGTTAAAGCGTGTTTCAAAAACTTTACAAACACCCACTTATCTAATCCTCACAGCAATTATAGAGGCAAGTGCTATTATTATCTACCTTTGAGGTGCATAGGAGCTGAGCAGCTTGTCCTGAGTCACACTGCCAGCGATGGAGGAACTCCAGAAGTTTGCCTGGATTCCCTTGCTTTGACCACTCTGTGGTCCCACATCTCAGTATAAGTGGGTCACTCATGCCTCACCGAGTGCATAGTCCCACCACCTTGCCAGTTAGATGATCAAAGCCATCTTGGAAATAGACTCTCCTGCTCAGTGAGCTTCCCTGATGTGCAGCAGAGAAGAGCTGAGGCTGAACTCTATCCAAATTGCAAAGGTGTGAGCAAAGAAATAGAATGATTGAAAATGCTTTTTATCTTAAGCTACTGTTTTGCAATTGTTTGATAATGCAGCAAAACATAATTGAAACACCTATTCACTTTACAGATAAACAATGAGAGAGATACAAAAGAGGCTGTAGAACATGGCCAGAACGATATAGCTAGGAAGTAGCAGATGCAAAATTAATCAAGCAGTGTAAGTGCAGAGATGCCCTCTATCCCCTATGCACTATTCTCTATTCCCTCCGTTGGTGCATCTTCCAGGATGTACTGTATAGAGAATAGTGTCTTAAGTGAGCCCTGCCTCCTGCCTACTGGGCCTTCTCGATCTGGTTGGCGTTTCCATTCCCCCGTTAGAATGCCTCCCAGCCTAAGGGCATGCTACAGACTTTAATGAACTCCAAGTATGTACTAGACACTTTTCAGCAGTCTTATCATGCAATCTTAACCACAGTTAAGATGATTGTCCCCACTTTGCAGATAGAAAAACTGAGGCTTGGAGATTTAATTTGCTTAGGTTAACATACTAACCTAAAATTTGCACCTAAAATTTGACCCTGGTCCAGCTCCACCTCCATACACAGTCTGTGGTCCAACTTTGCTTCCGGTATCCACTATTCAGTATGCCTAGCAGGCTCTGCCTCTCCTTCAAGCTGTTGCTGAACTCTGTCCAAATTCAGCTCCTTATCCTCTGCCTTCTTCAACATCAAGGTCAGCCAGTACCCCAGTGCAAGTTTGTAAGACCACCCAGACTTGGTAGCCCCTCCTCACTCGCCTGATCAGAGACCATGGTGCTTGTTTTTCTGAGTGTGCCAACTTCCACAGAAGACAGACAGGAGAATTTCTGTGTTCAGAGGGGCCATCGGCTCCTCTCAGCATCCTGAACACTGTTCTGAGCACAGCGGCAGCACGGCCGGCTTGCTTTCCTGTGGCTCTTTAGGGATCAGGTTCTGGCTGGGCCATAGGCAGGTCTCTCCTTACCGGGAGAGAAGGAGCAGGGAGGAGTTCCTAAGTGAGGGCTGGCGCTTCCCAGGGAGCAGGGGCGGAGAGCCTTAACAAAGAGGTGGACGTGTCTACTGACAGGTGAGCCCTGAGCCCCCAGGCTCGCCTCTGTGGGCTCGATGTGTTTCTTACATCTTAGGTCTGGTGCTTAGATCAGGGCACACCCCAGCAGCTAGATTCATGTGCACAAGTAGCCGGCAGATACGAGCATATTTGATCAAAAAGTGCAGCCACCTTCCCTTAAAGATTGAAAATGACCCCCTACCCTCCTTGCCATTGTGCTTGGAGTTCCTAATGATGGTACCTCATTAGATTGTCTTGAGGACTAGAGGAGTTCATATGTGTACAGTGCTCTGGGCAGCACCTGGCATAACCTATATATTTGTTGCTTTAATCAATAAAGAAAGGATGGCTACCTCAGGGTACAGGACAGATGGACACATGACTGGATGCCTGTGGATACCTGTAGGTGAGGGATGAAAGAGGGAGGAATGTAGAGAGATTGCCATGGTGAGGGAAGTTTTAGCACTTCTTGCACGTCTTCCCAGTCCAGTGCATGGCTGGGTCTCAGTCAGTCCTTGTGGTGGTGGAAGAGCTCTGAGAGGTCAGGATACCACCCCAAGTTTTAGGATGAGGTGACTGATTCCCTCCCAGGGCCAGGGGAGAGACCTGTGTGCTTTGGAGTAACTCTGTATCAGACCTTTCCTGTCCCCGTCACCGTCACCAAGGTCCAGGGTCCTGGGAGGGGCTTGGGTATCAGGGCCCCCATCACATGTGTTTTGGGGCCAGCTTTGCCTTCTAGTTTCTCTGCACAGGTGTCCCTGAGCAGAGGGGCTGCATCAGAGCTGAGAAGCGAGAATGGCACAGTGCCCGCTCTGTTAGGTTCTCTTGCGGTGGCAGGTCCCTCTGTTCAGCTTCTGTGCTCCTTGTCCCTGGGCTCTGCTGAGAGTCTCTTGGTCTACCCCGGGAATCTAGCCTGGCCAGTGTCATGCTTTGATCAGTAGAATATGGCAGAAGTGATACTGTGGAAGTTTCTAGAGCCCCAGGAACTTGCTCTATTTCTACTTTGCACACTTGGATGCTCACTGTAATTGTTCTGACCACTGGGTCTTGGGATAGTGTATTTTGGTAGATCATTGAAACACCTGCCTAGGTCAGACCAGGCATGGAGTCTTGGGCCCTTTCTGACTGCCCCTCTACTCATATATGAAGTAAAACTGGACTGTGTTTGGAAAAGGGCAACCACAGAATCAGGACTCATCAGGAACGTTAGGAGGAGCTGTTGAGAAATAAAAGACTAAAAACTTCCCAGAGGCCCATTATTTGCATCCATGCATGCTCGTTCGTGTCTGACTCTTTGCGACCCCATACACTGTAGCCCACCAGGCTCCTCTGTCCATGGGATTTCCCAGGCAAGAATACTGGAGTGGGTTGCCAGTTCCTCCTCCTGGAAATCTGTCTGATCCAGGGATCGAACACACTGCTTCAAATACCAGGAGGGCAGTCCTGTGCTGGAGAGACATGAGACTGATCTAAAAGCATCCAAGTGCTCTAAGAGAAACTGTAACAATGATAAAAATATGAACTTCCAATAAGCCAGTCATTTTATGTACAGCCTACCCTAATCCTATAAATACCTCTCCAAGGTTAGAATTCATTATTTTGCAAGTGAAGAAACAGAATCAAAGAGGTTATTTGCCCAAGATCACACAGTTTCTAAAGGGGAGATGCTACTAGAATTTAAGCCTAAGTTCAGCTCCCGAGATGGGCCTTTCTCCGGTATGCCTGGCTATCTCTTTCTTGGCCTACTGGATAGAAAAGTCCACTAGGAAAGTGGACTTTTTTTTTCAGGGGATGGAGCAATCTCTGGGCCTTGAATGCTCTCTTTTACCTCAGCTACATTGCATATGCTCTTTTTTAACCAGCAATGGCCTTTCTCTTCTTTGTTTTAAGGAATCCTATTCGCCCTTGAATATCATGTCTTACGCTCTTAGTCATAGGTTTCCAGGCTCAGAGGACCATTCTCGTAGGTTTCCATAGACTTCCAGGCTCAGAGGACCATTCTCATAGGTTTCCATAGACTTCCAGTCTCAGAGGACCATTCTTCCCTCTGTCTTTCCAAGTGCATTCTGCAAACTCTCTCATATGCAGCCCATGATTTTAATTACTTTCTATCACTTTACCTTTTTCCCTTCAAGATCATAAATTTCTCTAAGACAGGGACTGTGGCTCTTCCATCTTTGTGACCACAGCCTGTCACGTTCTGGCATGTGACAGGCTTCAATAAATATTTGTTTAGTTAATGGATATATTGATGAGTCAACAGAAGAAATAACTCAGAGAACCATTGCCTGGTGTATTTGGAAAATGACACCTGGGATAGAGGTGAGCCCCTTCCCCTCCATCGGTTGAGTGCCTCAGTAGTCATTTAGTCTGCTGGTATGTGGATTCTGCTATCATATGGAGATTTCTCTAGATGAGTGATCTCATGAGTGAAATGGATCATTGGGTGACAGAGGGTAAAATTAGAATGCTTCTCTATAGGTTTTTATTTTCTAAAACTTGAGAAGGAAATGATGCTATACAATATTTACTACATAGATTGACATTGGTGCTTGTATTCCCATTGGAGCATGAAGCTTTAGCCAGTGGACAATCAGGGAAGTCCAATGCTGTCATTTTTGATGCTGGTAGGGAAGTTGCTCTGCCATGATGCTCTGACAGCCTTGTGTGTATCCGGATGGGCTACAGGTAGAGGCTTGAACTGCAACTACTATGAGTCTGGGTGGAGCACCCTGCAATCCTCCTGGAACCTGAGAGGAAGGGTGGCCTGTGAGGCATTTGCTACGGTCATCTCCCATCCCCTCCCTATTTTTCCTGGGGAGCTGTCCTTAGACAGTTTCTAACTTATGCTCCTGATGAATTGGGAGGGTTTCTGAATACAGCTTGTTGCTGTGGGCTAGAAAAATGCTTAGCTGAGTCTCAAGTTGGCTCCATAAAAATGGGGTATTCCACCATTTGTGTTATATCATCCAGACGCTTTTGTTTCATTGCTGTCTTTTTAAAAAATTGATTTCTTTTGATTGAGATATATTGACATGCAACATTGTGTGAGTTTATGTTTTATAATTTTATTTATTTATTGGCTGCACTGTGTCTTAGCTGCAGCATGTGGGATCTAGTTCCCCAATCACGGATTGAACCCAGGCCTCCTGCGTTGGTAGCGTGGAGTCTTAGCCATTGAACCACCAGAGAAGTCCAATGCTGTCATTTTTGATGTGTGGCAAAAGGACCCAGGAAGGTAGCACATTTGGTTGTACTTCCTTTCTCTATCTGTATCAATAATAAACTATCTGAATCTAAAAGCAACTTGATGTAGCTTTACCAGCTGAATCATTCAGGTCTCGGTTCTGGCCTTACCTATGTGCCTGATGGCACCTTCCTGTGTCACCTATGGCAGCTCTTTTCAACTATCTACAGTGAAGGACCACTTAGTTTTGTTTTTGATCTGCCATTAACCAATATTTTCACTCATTTCATAAAAGGAGTTTCTAAAAAGATGAAATAAAAGACCTACAAATATAAGTCCCTCCTTCTTTTTGTTAAATTACTCAGGGTAATCTGTCAAATTGCTAGATGTGTTTATACACTTGATTTTGGTTTCTCTGCTTATCTCATTGAGTGCTAGAAATAGTTTGAGGGCTGGCACTGGTCCACGGATCATACTCTAGGCAGTACTGATGTGTAGAATGTGGGGGTAACCCCAGGGAAAAGTAGGGATTTTAGAACACAGATGGTTGATCAGAGTGCCCAAGTTTTTATTTGATTTCAATGAATTATAATGTATTATAATTCATATATGCCTATCAAGGGATTTATAGATAATACTGAGTTTTGAGTAAAATGATCCTTAGAGGATGGGACAAAATGGCTTGAAAAGTTACCTGTTAGTAATTTTCAGATTGAAGGTAATAGAAAAAATATGAAAATGACCAAGTGGACATTTCTTCAGATTTTAGTGTGAACTCCTTGTCAGCCATAAGATAAAAACAAGGACAGTATGTTCTGATATTGTAGGAAACTGGTTAAAAACATTCCAAGTTATCCATAGAAGTATTTAAGATATCAAATTAAATTTATAGTGGTTAATAAGGAACATTTCCTTAAGTATATATTGAATCTTGAAATATTCCCTAATGAAAATATAATCTTCCAAGCCTGGCAGGACATTTAATGATAATTGACTGCATCTGTGTCTCCACCTGAACAATTCGACTTTATTTTTTATATTATATGCAATGTGCTGTGTGTGTAGGTCACTTCAGTTGTGTCCAACTCTTTGCAACTCTATGGGCTATAGCCTGTCAGTCTCCTCTGTGCATGGGATTCTCTATGCAAGAGTACTGGAGTGGGTTGCTATGCCCTCCTCCAGGGGATCTTACCAACCTAGGGATTGAACCCATGTCTCTAAAGTCTCCTACATTGGCAAGCATGTTCTTTACCACTAGCACTACCTGGGAAGCCCACTATATGCAATATGTTCATATATATGTATTATTTTTATTATTCAGTCGCTGAGTTGTGTCAAATTCTTTGTGACCCCATGGACTGCAGCATGCCAGGCTTCATAAATAAGCATAACATATTGTCTTGGGGCTTAACATGCTTTCACTGAAGGAGTAATGTCCAGGAAATGTAGAGACCATGCACGAGGTCACCTCCAAGACCTTCCTAACCTTGGAGAACATGACCAGGCACGTCTCCACCTTTTACTCTGCAAGTACAGGCCAAGATTTCTGGCCAGTTTCCAGCTGGAGTGTGTCTCCAAGAGTCTGAGCTTAGGGCTGGCCCTGGAATGTGTTTTCCACCAATTCAAATTCATAAAGGGCCTAAGGGCTAGAATTGTGTGCGCTTTGATCTTGTACCAATTACAAGGATCATAAAGATACACTCAAGGGGCACACTGACTCTTTCCACAGTTTGTCTATTCCAAGCTTCATTAAAGAATGTGGGTTAAATAAAGGCCATTTTGGGAAGGCTCATGTGGCTCTGTCCCGGCCGAGTAGGCTGTCTACAGAAATGTGGGGAGGATGGCTTTCAATTGGTCACTGGCATGGCTATACTCCTCGGCTTCTCTGCCAGGAAACACTGAGCCTTCCTGTGTCAAAGCATGGCTTAATATCAAAGGACAGTTTATTTTTCATTACAGAGGGAAGTCAAGCTCATTATAGAAAGCTTTTTAAAATGCACTGAGTTCTAAAGAAAAAAAATCAGTAATAATTTCATCACTTAAAAGGAGTCATTGTTAAGTTTTCTATCTGTCTATTAATATCATGTGTGATAGCACCCCATACTTTATACTGGGGCTTCCCTGATGGCTCAGAGGATAAAGGGTCTGCCTGCAATGCAGGAGCCATGGGAGATGGAGGTTTGATCCCTGGATTGGGAAGATCCTCTGAAGGAGAAAATGGCAACCCACTCCAGTATTCTTGCCTGAAAAACCCCATGGACAGAGAAGCCTGGCAGACTACAATCCATAAGATCACAAAAGAGTTGGATACAACTTAGCGAGTAAACAACATCTATCTACCTATCTATCTATCTATCTATTATGTATTAGAAAGACCTGTACTATATACATACCACATACATAGTATATAGTTTCATATACACATATATAACAATAAGAATATATTTATCATTTCCTTATAAAATCATATTATCATGATTCCCTACCTTTGACCTGTGCTAGCCCCCAGAGTCAACAAACTAAACAAGTAAAGGCCTGTGGACTCCCTTCTGTGATGGGAGTGACAGAAGATATGGTGTTTTCAAGCTTTGGCAGCACTTGATTTCTATTTTGACTGTGACTTTGTCTCTTAATGTCACTTTTTGTCTCCTGCACAAACTCTTTCAAATTCTTCACCAGCCCTACCCCAAAGCATAGCTTCTCAGAGTCAACCCAGCTCTTCACTAATACCGCTAACTTCATTTGCATGTGACTTGGCCCATTTATAATACCATCACCAAGAAAAGGAGGCCTGTAACCAGGGCAACCAGAAGGGGTGCTTTTGCAATTCAGACTTCAACAGACTTTCTGCTCCATTTAGTTGGATTCTAATCTACTCTTGACTCCCTTCTCTCTTGAGGCTGTGAGAGTGTAAACACCCAGAATCTGCCTTTATCTCGTGTCCTTTTTTCCAGGGCCTCCCCTCAACCCACATGTACAATACAATCTATTTCTACTGACAAACCATTTCTTCAACAGTTACAAGAGTCCCCTTCTGATTATCACTAGCTAACATTTAGGGTCATGATATTTTCTAATGTTAGTGCAATCTCTAATAATTGTTTTTAGCACTGTATAATATTATATCTTGGGGTGGACCATACCTACTTAACAGTTCTCATGTAATTGGATTTTCAAGTACCCTTTTTGGTTTATTTTCTTTATTGTATTTAATTATTTGATGATCATCTATGTGGGTGATTTTTTTGGTCATTAATGAGTAGAGTTTCTTTCCTATGAAAGTCCCCTAGAATTGAAATGACTGGTCAAGAGGTATATTTGTTAAGCTCTCGAAGCAGACTGTTAAGTGCCTTCCATGGAGTATCAATTTACCCTGTATTATGATGGTGCTCATTTCAATGTATCATCAACTAGGTATTTTAATTTCAAAAATATTTTATAAGCAGGAAATAGTACATCACTACAACTTATCTTTTTATGACATTAGATATAAATTTCCTTGCTTGTTAGGTAATTACATATTATCTTTTATAGAAATATTTGGTTTTGTCTTTTTCCATATGATTACTGGTTTTCTTTCCTTTCAGTTTTAAAGATGTTTTATGAAAAAAGCCTTTTGAACAAGAAAACGGGGCAAAAAGGGGGGGGGAAGGAAGCACTCAGTCATGTCCAACTCTTTGCAACCCCATAGACTGTAGCTGCCAGTCTGCTCTGTCCATAGAATTTTCCAGACAGGAATACTGGCGTGGGTTACCAATTCCTCCTCCAGGAGATCTTCCCAACCCAGGGATCCTATCCCTGTGGCTCCTGCATTGGCAGGCAGATTCTTTACCACTGGGCCACCTGGGAAGCCCAGGTGTTTGACACCTTTAACGTATCACATCTGTCAGCCAATCATGAGAGGTGATCAGATGTGTAAATTCTTACCTGATAATGAGTCAGAAGAATCTTGTGCTTTTGAGCATAACTCTTTTTCTTGAATTTTGGGTGAGGGAAGTTGCCATGTGATCTTATATTACGATTCTTCCAGATCCACACTCTAGTCATCTGTCTGCACCAGGTTAGATATTTCTGTTTGAATTCAAGTAACTATAAAAATAGGCATGAATATCTGCATTATTGAACATAGTGATAGTAGTAATTATTAGCTTTTATTGAGCTCCTGGTCTGTACCAGGCATTTTCATAAGTGCTGAGGGCACTGCTGAAAATGGGTCAAAGGTATTTTGTCCTCAGGTAGCTTGTATTCCAGTGAGGGGAGATAGACTACACTTTATTAAATTTTTAGTAATTACCTAATAAAATAAGTTGCATAATTTTATATGGTGACATATACTATTCAAAAATGAAACTGGAAAATGAGATAGAGAGGGACTCAGCAGGAGAATCTACTTAGGATTGACAAGGAATCTCTGGAGAAAATGAGAACTGACTGAAAATGATGCAAAGAACCCAACTCAGAATAGTTCTAAAGTAAAAATGTTTCTAGAAGAATAACATGTACAAAGGCTCTACACTAGGAATAGTTGTAGAATGTTTGAGAAAAAAAGGCCAATGTGGCTGTTTCGGGTAACTAGGAGGAAGTGATACTATGTTATTAGAGAACTATTGGGGATCAAAATGTGGAGAATGCTGTAGGTCATGCTTAGGATTTTGGATCTTATTTTAATTGAGAGCTAAGGGAGCATTTTAAATGGAGTGATATGAAATCATTTATGCTTCTGAATATCACTCCACCTGCTGTGTGAAGGATGGACTATGGTCAGGATAAGCTAGACTGTGCTGCTGTCAGAAGCTTAATATAAGTTTATTTCTTGTTCGCACAAAGTTAGTTGCTTATGCAAAGACTTCGTAGTCATTTTTGATTTCACCTCCCGCATAAAAACCATATGCTAGTTATAAGGCCATGTGCCCAAATTTCTAACAAATGGGGATGTTTGCAAAAGGGATTCTTACTTTTTGTCAATAGCATATGAGTTGTATGCTTTTCTTTTCATGTCTTGGTGTCATGGATATCACATGTTGATAATCACAGGATAGATGTTGCCTGGATCCATGAGTCAACCCATGGAGAAGGTATTCCCTAGAGGTAGCCCCACCCTCACTGAAGAAGACGGAGAAATTTAAGGGAAAACATACTGATATTTGATGAACAGTAAGTGCCTATAACCACATGCCACTGGCATGGAAATCGTAATCTTAGGGATACCAGTTACAAGCAGTTTCAAGGATCTAAATGGTATTGTTGGCTGGGACTTGGGAGGCAGCAACAGAGATGGTTCAGTTTCAGGACATATTTCAGAAGCAGATGGGTTTTATGTGGGAGGTGAAATCAAAGATAACTCTGATGTCTTTGGCTTAAGCAACTAAGTGGATGATGGTGCTTGTAACTGAGGGAATGAAAATAGTGCATAATGAATATTTCAGGAGTGTGACACAAAGTTAGTTGCTTATGCAAAGACTTCGTAGTCATTTTTGATTTCACCTCCCGCATAAAAACCATATGCTAGTTATAAGGCCATGTGCCCAAATTTCTAACAAATGGGGATGTTTGCAAAAGGGATTCTTACTTTTTGTCAATAGCATATGAGTTGTATGCTTTTCTTTTCATGTCTTGGTGTCATGGATATCACATGTTGATAATCACAGGATAGATGTTGCCTGGATCCATGAGTCAACCCATGGAGAAGGTAGTCCCTAGAGGTAGCCCCACCCTCACTGAAGAAGACGGAGAAATTTAAGGTAAAACATACTGATATTTGATGAACAGTAAGTGCCTATAACCACATGCCACTGGCATGGAAATCGTAATCTTAGGGATACCAGTTACAAGCAGTTTCAAGGATCTAAATGGTATTGTTGGCTGGGACTTGGGAGGCAGCAACAGAGATGGTTCAGTTTCAGGACATATTTCAGAAGCAGATGGGTTTTATGTGGGAGGTGAAATCAAAGATAACTCTGATGTCTTTGGCTTAAGCAACTAAGTGGATGATGGTGCTTGTAACTGAGGGAATGAAAATAGTGCATAATGAATATTTCAGGAGTGTGAGGATCAAATGTTTGGTGTTTGTTTGAATCTGAGTTGTTTATTAAGTATTCAAATGGAGATGTTAAGTTGAAACCCAAACACTGGAACCTGGTGGCCAGGGAAAAAACCTGATCTAGGAAGAAATATATGAAAGTGATAAGAACACTGGTAGATTTTAAAACTTAAAAGAACCTACCATCAATGCTACTATATTCTCTATTTTAAAAAAGCTAAGCTTGAGGTTGAAAGGGGTTAAGTAGCTTGGTCAAGGTTATAATTACCATGTGACTAAGATAGGGTTCAAATTCAAGTCTTTCCAAACTCATTCTGCCAAAGATAAATTGCTTTTGTATAAATATTTGCTTTTGTAATATTAATACAATGTCAACTTTTTGTTCCATTTTGTAGCTCTCAGCCCTCTTTTTTTCATGCAGGGTTTCACTAGTAGAGAGAATTGAAATAAAAACTCTCACCCCCAATTTTCAGGTGATGACTATGGGACATAGAATATTCAAGTTAACTGGCTAAGGTAATATGATATATTTCAGGCAATCTTACTCTTGATTTGTAAGTTTTTCAACCCTAGTATATTATACTACACTCTACTGCCTCAATCAATAAGAAGTTATGTGAACATTTTACCCCACTCCATTTATTTTCAGTTCAGTTACAAATGACCCTCCTGGGTATTTGTTCTGAGCCCAGGAAGACCACAAAGATATAGATACTTTCAGATGCTGACCTTTCGATGTACACAGTCAAGATGACCAGATACCCTTTATTGCTATGACTCATAGTCTTAAAGCTCATCCGAGGCAGAGTCTTCTCTGAAGTCCTCTTACAAAGTAGTGTACTGTTCATTTTGTTTTCACTGTTGTAGAAATAAAGATGCTTTATTTGGTTACTTTCAGACCTGAGTTACATGTATAATCTAAAGAAGAATCACTGGGACTGGAAGCAAATATCATTTCTCCTCTGATTATGGACTATGAAAGAGAAAATGAGAAACAGGAAAAGCCATCTTTCTCTTCCTAAACTATCTCTATAGCCAGCTCAAGTCTTCTCCTATCTCCCATAACAAGAAATGTTTTCAAAATCTCTCTCACTCGATTCCTACTATGTAGAACAATCACCTTCAGGGTAGGTCTTAGCTCCCTTACTGTCACCCTAATATACACTTTCTGGGTGATATTAATTGTTTGACTCTGGTGCTGAGGGCAATGAGAGTCCATTTACCTTCTGTGCGGTTGGAGAGACCTCTAAATTGTGAATCTGAGAAGAAGAGACCAGAGAACGCAGGTCTGAGGCTGTGCAGTTTCCAGATTGCACCAGTATAATGATATGGTTCCCAGAAATGTCAATAAAATGTTGGGAGAAATTTAAGGACTTCAAGAACATGTCTGGATTCTGCCCCTCATCTATAGCCCTGGAGTCAGAAGAGATTCTATCACCATGGTTATTAACAACCTTGGAGATACGTGTCCTTTCTTTCTTCCTTTATGAGACAAGAAGATGCTTATGAAGGCCCTACTATGTGTGGAGGGAGAATTTTACAAGAAGATCCCAGTGGTCTTAGATTCAGAAATCTTGAGTTTACAGCCTCCCTCAACTATTCAGTAGACATATGAGAAGTCATCTTACTTCTCTGAGCCATGATTTCTACACTAACAAAACTGAGAATGCTATTTCCTATTCTGCTTAACTCATAAAGTATCAGTGACACTCAAATGAGATGTAGTGTGTGATGATGCCTTGTAGAATAAAAGAAAGTCCACTTAATGCTTGGGAGGCATTACTATAGACACCTTAAGAATACAGAGAGAAATGAATCAGTTCATACCTTAAGATGAGCACAGGAGGGAATTCCCTGGCAGTCTAGCAGTTAGGACTTGGCACTTTCACTCCCACGGCCATGGATTAAATCCCTAGTTGGGAAACTAATATCCTACAAGGCTCAAAAAAAAAAAAAGAGCACAAGGACAAATGCAGAGGAAACTGTTACCATTTCTTTAAATTTTGTTCATTTATTTTTGGCTGTCCTTGGTCTTTGTTGCTATGCAGGCCTTGAAGAGAGTGGGGCTACTCTAGTCGCGGTGCACAGGCTTCTCATTGTGGTGGCTTTTCTTGTTGCAGACTACAGGCTGTAGGGTGTGCAGTCTTCAGTAGCTGTGGTACATGGGCTCGGTAGCTGGGACTGCCAAGCTCTAGAGCACAGATCCAATCAATTGTAGCAGAGAGGCTTAATTGCTCTGTGGCATGTGGCATCTTCCTGAACCAGGGATCAAACCCATGTCTCCTGCATTGGTAGGCAGATTCTTGCACTGCCAGGCAGATTCTTTACCACTGAGCCACCAGGGAAGTCCTGAAATTGTTACTATTGATGCATAACAAACTACTCCCAAATTTAGTGGCATCCAACAGCAACATTTTATTATGCCTCACAGATCCTGGTGGTCAGGACATGGAGCAGGGCTTAGCTCTTCATAGCAATAGCTGAGATCTCTTAGTTGTACTCAGCTGGCAGATAGGCTGGTTTGGAGAGTCAAGAGGACTTCACTGGTATGTCAGGTTCCTTGGCAGTGGAAAGGGAGGCTGAGCTCATCCAAGACTGTCTTCCAGGGAACCTACATGGAGTATGACAGTCTCAGGGCTGTTAGATTTCTTATAGCTGGATGACTGGCTTCCCTCAGAACAAGTGTCACAAAAGAACCAAGTGGATATTGCATGCTCACTTAGAATATAGCTTCAGAAATCAGTGTCACTTCCACCACAATTTATAAATTCCAAGAGAAACCAGTCAAAAGTCAAGGGAAATAACCTATGAGATTTCTTTGCATCAGGAACCTCATTTATTTTGGAATTTTTTGCTACAGGAGACTTGGGTTGAGAAATAATTTTATTTATGAATCTCACAAATCATGGCTTCTATATATTTTCTGTGAATTTTGCTTGAAAACAAAATCCCTTCTGTACTCCATCTTTGAGTTGTCTATGCGTCTATGTTTACATTATGATATATAGCTAAGAGAGGACAAAAGATACTTCAAATTCTGCCTGATACTTTGTTAGCTTCCCAGGTGTCGCTAGTGGTAAAGAACCTGCCTGCCAATGCAGGAGATGTAAGAGACATGGGTTTGATCCCTGGGCCAGGAAGATAAGGAGGAAATGGCACCCACTTCATTATTCTTACCTGGAAAACCCATGAATAGAGGAGCCTGGTGGGCTACAGTCCATAAGGTCGCACAGAGTCTGACACGACTGAAGTGACTTAGCATACATCTGTTTATTAGGGCTTCCCTGGTGGCTCAATGGGAAAGAATCTGCCTGCAAGTGCAAGAAACGTGAGTTTTGATCCCTGGGTCAGAAAGATCCCCTGTAGAAGGAAATGGCAACCCACTCCAGTATTCTTGCTGGGAAATCCCATAGACAAAGGAGCCTGGTGGGCTACAGACCTTGGAGTCGCAAAAGAGTCAGACATGACTTAGTACTAAACAACAATAATCTGTTTATTAAGTAAATTTTCTATTTTCCAAATTACTGCAGGTAATGATTTTGCTTAGTTTTCTGCAATTATATAACAAGGGTACCCTTTCCTGTAACTCCCAATAGTATTTTTCTCACTTTCCTTTAAACTCATGAGCCTCCTCAAGATTCACTTTGCTTCCATTAAAAGTCTCCTTAAGGTCCTTCTAGATTATTCTGCTCCACAGTTCCAAAGTCTATTCCACATATTTTATATTTTCCCCATCGGAATGCCACCATACTTCCAGATACCAGATTCTGTTCAAGTTATTACTACTTAATAACAAATGTCACAAAACCTGCTGTTTTAAACAATAATATTGTATGTCATATATTGTGCATGTCAGAAATTTGATCAAGGCTTGGCTTGGTGATTCTTTTGGCATTAACTGAGATCGCTTGATGATACTCAGCTGCCTGATGGATTGATCCTAAGGGTCTAAGATGGCCTCACTCACAAGTCTAATGCTTTTGCAGAGGTGGCTGGAAGGTTGGATTCATCTGGAACTGTTGACTAGAAAACCGATGTGTGATTTTTCCAGCATGGTAGTCTCAGGGCTGCTGAACTTTTTGCATGGCAGCAGGCTTCTCTTAGATAAGTGATTCTAAGTGGAGCATGATTCTGTCCCTGGGGGAATATTTGGCAATGTCTGGAGATATTTCTGGTGGTCCCGCTGTGCGGGGTGTGGGGGCGGGGAAGATTGCTGCTCAATCCCACAATGCACAGGGCAGACACTACTGCCCCCCTCAGGCCCACAACAAAGAACTACCTGGTCCCAAATGATAGTGTGGCCAAGGTTGAAAATTCCTTTCCTAGAGTGAGCATCCTAAGAGTCACGCAGAAGTTTCTGATCTAGGCTTGAAGACAAGCAGCATCATATTCAGACCAGATTTTAAGAGAGAAGGGAATTAAACGTCACTTCTTGATAGGGGGTGGTGAAGTCACATTATAGAAGAGAATGTGGGATGGGAAACATTGTCACAACCATCTTTAGAAAATACAATCTGCTGCAGGAACTGTCAGGGAAATCTGAATGTGATCTGAGCCACGGAAAAGGGGCAAGCAGAATGCTTTAAGGATGCTAGAGGATCTGCCTCTTCTGATTGGAGGGAGAAAATGGGATTTCCAGAAAACATGACTATTCAACAATTTTTTTTTTCAGTGATAAATTAAACCTTAAAGAAGTGGAGTATTTTGAAAAACTCAGTTGGAGAGACAAATATTTTAGATAGAAAGAACAATAGAAATAAAGATATTCATTCTTAAGGATCAGCAGACTATGGGTTTTAGATTAAATTCAGCTTGTTATTTATTTTGTAAGTAAGATTAATTGGCGCCAAGCCATATGTACTCTTTGAGTAGTAACCACAGGGACCATGTGGCCCAAGGAGCCTAAAATATTTACTGCCTGGCCCTTTATGGGAAACTTTGCTCACCCCTTAGACTAGTGCATTAATTTATTTGTTTTTTTCAACAAATACTTCTTAAGTGGATGCTATATGCCAGAAATGTGTCAGAGGTTGAATATAGAATGGTGAGCAAAACAGACAAAGAGTAGAACAGATAGAAGCAGAAAAACAGTTATTGTGGAGGGTGATTTTGACTATTAGTACTACAAAATTTGAGAGCTATAAAGAAAATAACAAAGTTCTGTGCTTAAGAATATTGAGTACTTGGGAAAAGTGAGCTGGAAAGACTTTATAAAGTGGATAAAGGTAAGACCTGCCAGATGAGAAAGAGCCAGCGATGGGATGTGAAATCTAGTGATAAGAATTATCAGGCAAGTGAAGAGGGAACACAGAGTTCCCAAGGCAGGAAATAGTTTGGCTTGAGAGAGTAATTGAAAGGTGATGCATTTTGGTGGAACTTAGTAACTAAGATGGAAAGCATGGCAGGGGTTGAGTTTGAAGAGCAGGCCTGGGGCAGGTCTTGGAAAGTTTTATAAGCCATGAAAAGGATATATGCTTTTAAATCCAAGTTTAACAGAAAACCACTTGAGAATTTTGAGAAGGAGAGTGAAATCGAACAATAACAATTTTTTAGAAAAGGAAAAGAAAGAAAATTCTGGCTACAGAGTGGGGATTAGATAGCAGGAGAAGAGGCATTGAGAGATAGGTAAAGCAGCTCATAAAGATTCTAGATCAGAAATCATGATAGCATGATCTAGAAATTGTGCTTCTCAGACTTTTCTGTGCCCGCACATGACCTGGGAATCTTGTTCATATGCGGAAGCTGACTCAAGAAACATGGGTTAGAGCCAAGATTGTTTGCTTTAAATGAATTTCCAGGTGATGTGATGCCCTGGTTCAAGCACCACACTTTGTGCAAAGAGAGTTTAGAGGTAAAGATGTAAAAAAAAAAGTGGGTCTTTAAAATGCCTTTTGAAACATTCATTTTACTAACACTTTCCCATGACTAGAAATCTTAAAGTATGCAAAACAAAATCATGCAAAGGAGAAAATCCAGCCCAGGCACTTGCAACTATTATAAATAAATCAGAAGTGAGTGAGAAAGCCTTTTACAGAGCTTCAAATATGGGATGCATCCTGGGAGTTAAGAGTTTGGAAAGAGCACGCAGTTTCAACCAGTTAATGAAGAACTGCCCAGGGGATGATAAATTTTATTAATTTTTCTAATAAAATTTTATTGAGGGAATCAAAATGAAGAAAAGAGAGTCCCTGACTTAAAAGAGATAGAGTATATTTGTGAATAATAGACATGGAATGTTAATATATAATGAAAAGCATTTCCACAGGGTCAGGGCTGGAGTGCTATGAATTGGGATCACCAAAGGGAGATGTGTCCTCTTGGTGAAAGGTTCAAGGATGGATTTCTAGAATGATCTTCAAGGATAACAGAGTCAGTGGGCAAAGGACAAGGAAAGTGTTCTTTG